CCCGGAGCCGTGACAGGGCCAGGGAAGTCGGGGTGGCCGCCTTACCTCAGAGTGGTCTGTTTTAAAGGGATTGCGGTAGTCGGGCGATTTCTCGCTGATTCCCAGCTCCTGAGCCATCTGCGGAGCAAAGCGGGATCATGTTGGGGGACGCTGCCTCCCACCGGCACCCCGCCTTGTGATCAGGGTCCCCTCCTCCCCACCAGCCCTCCCCGTGCCCGTCCCTCACCCCTCAACCCAAGGATGAGCCTTGGATACGGGGTACGCTCCCCCCGCCCTCCTTTGACGCCAAACCCCTCACCCCCCAGCCCCAGCAGCAGAGAGGGGATGCGGTGGCAGGGAGGGGGGCTGGGAACCGTACCAGCCCCAGGACTTGGGAGTGAGGTCCCTGCTCGAACACGCCGGTCAGGTTGCAGAAGCTGATGCCCCAGCGGATGAGGCTGTTCCAGTTGGAGTTGCGGTCGAAGTAGTGGTGGACGATCTTGGGGAAGCGCAGGACAACGTCCCCGAAGAAGGCCGTGTTCTCCACCACATGGGAGTACGCTGCAGGGACAGCCACCAGCCCCCTGGGCACACGCGCCACACCCCGCCGGTGCTGTGTCCCCGCCAGGATGGGTGAGGCTGAGGGCAAACGGGCAGGCTCCCCAGGATGAACTGGTCAGGGAGGCAGCAGTAGGGTCCCCAGCAGACAGGGACCAGCCCAGGTACGTGGGGGTTCCGTACCTAGCCTGGCACTGGTCCTACATGGAACGTCAGTGATGCACCAGAGCACTAGAGAAGGGACGGGGGTGAGGACCAGAGGGCACCTACCATCCTTTATCTTCTCATCTTGAGGGAAAGGCCCATCGGGAGGCACGTCGGCAGCAATGAGCACAGCCCGGGAGTCCTCCAGCACCTGCCAGAGCTCTCGGTCACCGCCCTGTCCTGCTGGCCCTCCCCTGTACCCTGGGTGTGCTGCCCCAGCCACCCCACAGCATCCTCCCTTCTGGCCCTAAAACCCCCCTGACTACCCAAGTCTTCCCTTTGACCCCATGGAGACCCATTGGCCCCCCCTGCTTCTCCTGCCTACCCTCCCTAGCCCCAGGGCACACGGAGCCCAGAGGGCGGCCCAGGCTGCGGCTCACTTTGAAGAGTCCCTTGAGCATGATGTCGATGATTTTGTACTGCTGGTTGACGTCATTGAGCTCGATCAGGTTCTTCAGCGCGTTCATCTGGTCCTTGCGCTTCACCTCGAAGAGCTTCTTATCTGCACTGCTGTCAAGGGCACCCCTGGCACATTCCCACCTTGCTCCTCCTCTCCCCCTCTGCCAGGCTCCCGGCACCACCCCAGCTCCAGCCCCAGGTTCTCCACGGGGGGCCTGAGGGCCAGGGGTCACCTCCCAAGCCAGGAAGGAACACGGGTTTCCAGCGAGCCCCTTTGCCCAGACACCCCAGGGGGGCATTTATCACCCAGCACTTGTGGGGAGCTTCCTACTTGCCAGTCCCTGCTCTGGCTGGCAGGCTGGAGGAGGGACATGAACTCCTGCCTTCTCCACAAGTGTCTCCATGAGCACACATATTAAATATCTTTTCGTATTTTGCCTGCTCACCAAGGGATGCTGCTGTGTGCTAAGCAGGGCTTTCATTAGCCCATCTCCTTGTGGCAAATAAACGCCCACAACACAGACCAGGAGGAGTACCACAGGCCCAGGAGCCTTCTCCCATCATCCCAGCCAGCGACCCCAGAGGTTCTGGGTCCTCCCTTCCACCCCACTGTGACCCTTTCTGTGGTCTCTGACTCTTGCCCTGCGCACTCTGCGGCCATCAGCAGCCAGGAGCAGGTGGAGAGGACACGAGGAGGAGGCTGCAGAGGATACAGATTTCCAAGCCAGAGTCCACCCTCTGCTTTTCCAGGTCTGCAGAGCTGCCCCGTGCCAGCAACAATGCCAGCACCAAGGGGCAGATGAAGGGAAGATCCATTCTGGCCGCCGCAGCCTGGAACAAAACAAACCAACAAAACCAATGACCACCGAGGAGACTCAACCCCGGGGAGAAGCCATGAGTGCCTCTGCCCTGCCAGGGAAGCCCTGGTCCCCCCTCCTCCCTGCCTGCCTTCACTGCTGCCTGGGCACCTGCTGGGCCCCCAGGAACCCACCCAAGCACTGACCCAGCAGAAAAATTAACTCCTACCCCGAGTCAGACACAGGAGTAACAGGGCTGAAGGGAAGAGGGGGATCGCCAAGGGGCTGAAGTTCACCTCTCCTTCAAGCACCAGGCTCAACCATCCCCCTTGACCCCTTGGGGTGCTGGTACCTGGACCCTTCCCCTGGCTGCAAGCTGGGCACCCACTGCAGGCCCCGTGCTGAAAAGCAGCAGTTGGGTGCCCTGGTAACTAACAAGGAGCAGGAGAGGCTACAAGAGAAGGTCCTTGAGAGTCAAGAGCTGTCCCTGGGACAGCCTCGCCCCCAAGCAGGACAGCAGTACCTCGGCCTCCAGCCTGCATGGAAACAAATCCCTTCTCCATGCCCAGTTTAGGCTTTTTCTTGTTGGATTGTTTTTTTCCAACAAATACAACATGTTCACCCTCACGCCAGCGAGCGAGGCGACGCCGGCAGCTCTGGCAGCCTTGCAAAGGGCAGCAGCAGCTCCTGCTCCAGCCACCGGCTGCCCGGCGAGGCCGAGCCGAGTGACCTCGCCCCTGGCACAGGCAGGGAGCAGGAACCCCCCCCACCTTAGCTCTGCAGAACGCAGCACCCCTGGAAGAGAATGCACCAGGGTCACCACTTCCCAAGGAAGCCGTGGGCATGGGCTCAGTGTCACACCCAAGTTTCAGACACGATGCCAAGCTGTGATGGCAGCACAGGCCTTGCACGCCAGGCCTGGGGTCTGTCCCCTCTGCCCACCATGGCGTGAGGCTTCAGGCATATTCTAGCCACCCCAAAAACCACAAAGCACACCAACAGGATGAGGCTGCAAGGAGAAATTCTCCACCCTGCACAAGCAGATGCTCTGCTGGACCTATTGGCCTGGTCGGCTTCCAAGACACTGCTGCACCCCATGAAACACCAGAACCAAGGGCTCCAGGCCTGGCTCAGCGAGGGGTGTGTGGGTCCACCCTCTGCAGAGCCCCCTACACCCCCTCAGTCTCCAGGAGGAGGGAGAGCAGCAACTCAAAAGCACAAACTGTGGCTGCCCTGGGACCTGGGTTCCTGTTGGCCCCTCAGATGGGGCGTGTGGCCACAAGGACCAGGCTGGATATTTGTAGTGCTCGTGGAGAGCCCTGGGGGCAGCCAGTGGCCTCCAGACCAGGGTGAAAGGCAAAGAGCAGAAATGCTGCTCAGAACAGCTCTGCCACGCTGCCCACAACAGCCCGAACACGCCTGGCTCGGGCAGGAGCTCCCAAGCTGCCCCCTTCTGCCAGGAGAGCCGAGCAGCTAGAGGATGCCCCGCAGCTCCTCTGAGGAGAAAGGGCAAAGAAACCTGCTCAGGCAGCAGCTGAACAACACACAGCCCTCTGCTGAGGTGCCTGCTGGCCAGCTG